TGTGTTTCAAGGTTCAAAGTTTCAGTTTGGCATATGCCTTTTAGTTGAACCAATTATGGAACAACAATCAATGACTAATAAGATAGAGATCCCACCAAATAGCCTCACTATTTTGACAAATTGACACAACTTACTTTCCTTGTAGGAAAGAAACACTGAAGCAAATTTGGAACCTTCAAACACCTTTTATATATGGAATTTTTATTGGTTTTCTATGAAAGCTCACCAAAACCCAATGGTGGGCCTCCTCTATAGACCAAAGTATGATCAGAATAAATTAGGTAGACAACCCACACGAATATACAAAAAAGGGAAAATTGACTTCAACCACTGTCATGTATATTGGTGTAACAAACAGCTTATATAGCTCAATAGTTAATACCAACAATTTTCTTCAATAAAGAGCACAGCCACAAACAGACAAGTTAAATAGCTGTTATTAAATGAAGAATGAATCTGTAGAAATGGATGAAACAAACAAAGTAATGGAGGTGATAGAACCAAGATCTGATATAAGGTTCTGTAACACCTTAAAAAATGATTTGGCAGGGGGGAAAAGGTGAAGATGGGTTTATATAATAAGAACAAGAATATCTACAGAATCAGAAAATCTAATGAGGGTAAGTGAAATAAACCTTGTAGGAAAAGTTTATGTAGGTTGGAAGTGAAGCAGTATTAGGCCCCACCTAACACCTCAAGATCTGAAAAAACAATGAAAACAAGAGAAAGGACAATCTTTGGGAGGTGCATACAAATATAAATATAAAAGTAAAAGCACAAGAAGATTAAAAGAGATTGATGAAGAGGGTGATGAATGTGAAGGGTGGGTGGGTCCTCCTCCCCTTCACAACAACAAATTCTTCACCACAAATCAATTATTATTCCTGTGTAAACACAGAATAAAAATTTCCTTTTTTCTATGTTGTTGTTCTTGTTTGTGTGTGGGGCAATATAGAGAACAGTTGGTGGACAAAGAATGTAGTTATATTTATGCAAAGAAATGAATAAGAGGCTGAGAATATGTTACATTTTTGTGGATATCAAACAACATTCTACTCTCACATATCCATGTCAACCCTTCTTCTTCTATGATCCAATCATCCTTAGATTTCCATCAAATTATTACTATAATAATAATAAAATTATAATTATTTTTTTATTTATCCTTTCAAAAATGTTCACTAGCACATTTCTTGTAATCTTGTGTCTATACATTTGCTGAAGTTTCAAAATCACAATATTTAAAGGTGTATATGAAAGTACAAGTTGAGATGGGATTGGATTAAATTAAACAATAAAAAATAATATGTATGTATGCATGCAATAAAGTGATTATTAATTCATATGAAAAAAATATTGTGGAACCAATAAAAATATTTGTTGAAGGGGTAAGAACCACAAGATTATGATCCTTTGTTTTTTGGGTAAGAAGTTGAAATTTTGAAGAAAATGTGTCTGCCCACAAAAGGCAACTACATTGGATAACGTATATACTATATAGGACAAGACTTTCATGCCTCACTTGCTTCTCTCTAACAAAATAATAACCACGAATTTTTATGTCTTTTATAATAAAATAACCGGATTTTTTTTAACATACCAAATATGTTAAGGATTACAATAAAATAAATATTTTAACATTTATAAAGATCAGATATTTTCACATAAGAATTTAATTTTATTAGACTACATCAAGTATGATAGCGCGACGTGATTTTCGATTGAAAAATGACTAATACTAAGAATAGAGATTAGATATAGAAATAATTATCATATTATATAAACCGGTAAATATTTTTTAGAATCATCATTTATATGAAAAGTGCATGTTTCTCCAACTCTAATCAATTATTAACATGAGACTCTTGTTTGCTTTACAATAAAACAATCCAAAAATAGAAAGTATTTGTTTTACTTTGATATACATTTTTTCTTAGCATATTTTGTTTCTTCCAATTTTCCATTTCTCATTTTACCTATTTGTGAGATCATTAAAACTTTTGTGTACAACTTGATATTTGTGTATTGTGTAATTCAAGTTTAGCAACTTGTATTTATTTGTGTGACATGTTATTTTTTAATATTGATATTGATTTTTATATTATATTTTATTTAAATATATATTTTTAACATTTGTTATGTAATATTAAAAATTAAAAAATTTACAGTAAAAATATATAAACTGAAAATAAAGACATAATCTATAACAAACTCATACTTAATTAAACATTGCTATATTTTTATGGGGTTGTGAATTGAGATAAAAGCAATTTAGTTTGTGTCCTATGAATGTGGTGAACAATTTGGGGTTAGGGAGAATACAACTTTTTGTGCTGAATTTCATTTCAATGGTGGATAAGGCTTAAAGGAAGTTAGCCACTTTTGCCACAAAGTGGAGTCCTTTCAAATTGATATTATATATCTTGAAAAGTTGGTCTGTTAAGTGGGTAAAAAATGGTCCCAACTATGAGCAGATACTACTACTACTACAACTACAGAGAATTAACTTTTGTACAAAAAGTGCTTCCCTTGAGATAGGAATAGGATATGTTTGTGACATTCTTTAAACTAAGGCATTAAGTTGGTTATGAAAATAATCATTTAATAATGTTGGTTTTGAACTTTGATTAGCCAATGAACAAACACTTATATAACACTATAGGGAATGAATTTTTGTACTTAAGTGTTTCCCTTAGAATAGGAATACCATGACATTATCACATTAATAGTATTGGTTTTGAACTTTTATTAGCGAAATTCTATTTATATGAAGGACAAGTATTGGGTGGGTGATGTTGACAATTGAGCATCATGGCATTTGTAAAGTGAAGCTTGGGAATCTTATCTAAGTGCATATACATTGTTAGCCAAAAGGCCAATTTGATTATTCACAATGTCACTAACCAAAAGTTGGCACATCCTCTTATGTTGTTCTCTTTTCCTCTACATGGATTATGGAGCTAATGGCATGGACATATTTTTCATTTATTCATATTGATCATGAATGAATTAGAGAAAGTATATGATTTAATCATTTAAGCATATCCACTTTGGTTATTTTGATATTGTCCCCTAAAGTTTGAACATGTCATCCATCAAGCCCCACCAACTCTGAACTCAATTGTCCATTTAGTATGAAACTATGTGTGGGTCAGATTCGAAAACAGTGAACTTTATTCATAGACAACTATTAATGATTTTGCATTATTAACAATTAACAGCAATATGTCAAAGCCTGTTAAGCCCAACAGCTGAGAATGAAATGGGTTTCAAAAAGACTTGTTTAAAGATTATTGGTTCCTAGTGCATCATCATAGAGCTGAGTCCATAGAAGCACAAGCAAATAGTGGACCAAACATGGACTTTAGACCAAAAAACAAAATATATCTACTCACATGAATGTTGGATGATGTGGAATCAAACCAACATATATAAATACTGCACTAATTGATATGTTGTTTAACATATCTTCCATAATAATTATATAATCTGATATTTTAAAAATATCTTTCATATTATTGTATTAACATATCACAAAATATAAATAAAAAAGAATTGATTTTTGGGCTTAGTCATAGCAAATTTTGTCCAACATCAGTATGGTAGACATTTTAGAAATATCTATAGTTATGAGAAAATGTTGGAATTAATAACTAGTTTTATATTTAGAAACCCATATTGTTGATTTGTTTGGGATGGTGGAAAGGATAATTGCCCCACAAAGAGTCCAAGAATTTAATACATACTCTCCCAAATCATGAATACCGGCAACATTATAACATTGGCCTCTTTTCATGGATCTAGCTTTCTACGGAAAAATCAACTCTTTTCATTAATATCTATGTTCACCTCCATATTAATAAGCAATGAACATATGAAGTGAGAAATGAAAACTTTAAAGAAGTAACAAACTCTAATTAATCTAAACACCACCCACCCTCTGCTGAATTATGTTCAAATGTCAACAAAGAAGCTAATAATATGGAATTCCCTGATTATGAATTATTATTGTTGTTAAGCAGTGTTATCTGAGTGCACTCTCTTTTTGCCACTAAGTGGAACACCAAAGAGCTTCACATAACTATCACAATCCTCACTACAATCTACCAAAGACTTTTCCATAATGCGACCCTTGGCTGGTCTAATAACAGCAGCAACATTTGGTGACTGAGGTAATGAATCCAATTCTACTAGCTTTGGAATAACAATGTTGCTTCTTTGTTCAAAAGGAGCAGGATTTACATGGTTTTGGATGAAATATATGATGTCATTGTAAAGTTTCTTCATGCGAGTGAGTTCTGATAATAGCATGTAGTTCTTTCTCCTCAGTTTTTGATTATCTTCAGAAAGTGCTGTTAAAATATCATTACTTGGTTTACAAGACTGAAGTGGAGTATTAATCCAACACAAACCTTCATCTGGTTGAAGGAACTGTTGTGGTTGATCATGGTAGTAGTGTTGTTGTTGATGATGATGAGGGGTTTTTCTTCTATGGATTTCACATAGAAGGTGCTTAGCTCCTTTTCTGAAGTATTCATTTGAGAACTCCCACCTATCAGCAACTACTTTCTTGAAACCCTAAAACAAGAGAGGAAAAAGATATTTATGATGTTTAACTAACATAGTCAATCTCAATTATGAAGTTTAGGTAGTCATATATCTATGTAATCATTAGTTATCCCTATGGTTTCATTTAACTAAAGAAAGATGAAGATGGGAACTTTCTTTTATACTAGTGGTCAATATTTCATTTCCAAAAACTTCTTAGTACTAATATGATTATGTGAAGTAATTAGTGAAGCTGTGAAGATGAAAAAATCTAATATCATAATATGTATAATCAAAATTTGTCCTATACAATTATAGGTTATTATAACAAAGAAACAATGACTAACATCTAGTATTAGGAGAATAAAGAAGTTATAGAACATGTATAGATTCTCACATAGGTATTGAGCTGCCTAACAAAGCTAGAGAAGTTGTTGTGCTTAAAATAGTTAGGAAGGAGATCTGTAGCAAACTCAGGGGGTTTCCACACAACAAATGTGGTTTCATCATTACCCCAAGATACAATATGGTCAGTGTGAAGATCATCAACAAGTTGGTATGTCTTTGTTAGGAATGGAGCTGGCACTGACTTCTGAGACTCCACAGTGAACACAATGTTATCTTCACATTTGTCTAGTGTGAAAGCCATCACTGAATCAACTAAAGAGTGTTTACTAAAATTTTATGCTTTCTTGTTACTCTCCACTTCATCCACTAATGCACTAGCAAGTTTTATAGAACCCTTCTATGTATATGTCTCTCACTATCTCATAATATAATTTTACTAACTTTATGTAACAGAAACATATGACAAAGTCACTACTTAAATAATTATTCTTTGCTAGCCCCACCCTCTCTTATCTTTGTTGTTTACTAACTTTAAGAAGCATATGACCATGTCAGTAAAAAACAAAGAGTTTTTCTAGAATAACTATAATAAGATCCAATGAGCAACTAATTAATTACCTATTCATTGATGGGTTGATTCCTCTTGATAGATGAGCTTATTTCTATTTTTCTTTGAGAGATAAAACAGTGGGATATATTTTTATAGTATTTTTCCAATTTTTCTTTCTGTACAGCATCATGGATGCATGTAATAACAATTTTGTCCCTACTCAACTTAATCAAACATTCAAATAAGAACCGTTTAATTTGAGATTATAAAATAATCTCAACACTAATTCAGTTTTGTTTCTCTTCATGACAATTACAAAGATCTCATGTCTTCTACAAATTCCTAGATTAACATATAAATTGAAGGGCAATTTTTTAATTGTTTTATTCATGGAAGACACATACTTTAGTGTGTAAGGGAGTGATAATCCTCCAAAACAAAAAATACTTTAATGTTTATTCATTGGCCCACTGTATTATCAATGTCAGATATTGTTCAATTTGTTGGTCCCTCCCTCACCTCCACCTTCTTCATCTTTACCTAAAAACTAGAACCAAAGCTTGTTTTAATATTTATTTTCCCAATCTGAAAGCAGAACATGGCCAGTGTAACACATGACTAACTTGTAAATTGGCTTGGTTTCCTTCATATTGAATTTTAAGCTCCCCAAACAGATAAAATTCATGTAAAATTCCCATCTTAATTGCATGCATTTGATATGAACATTTGAAACCTGGAAACCTGAAATGTTGTAATTGGAAAATTGCTTCATATGTGAACATTTCATGTAACATTTTTTAATCATTAAATTGTCATATCAAATATCAATAACTGTATTATCATTTACACATAAGTGATCACTCAGAGTAATATAATGTACTTTATTTAGTCTCATCCATATATCAACAACCTTAATCTAAAGGAAGAATTAAGGATTGATGGGATTGCAACTTTATTAGATCACACAAATCATTGGTTTTTGATTTCCACCATGAGAAAAGTGTATCAGAAAAAGATAAACACTGTTCAGGAATTATGTTGTTGTAATTTCCTTTTTTTCAGGTATCATATCCAAATAGTCCTTTATTTTCTGAAGAAATACTTTTTCTTCTTCTTTTATGGTTTTGTTTCGTGGGGATCACGAGGGTCACTGTTTTAAATAGTTTCCCACTCTAACTACGTAATCCAAAGTTGTCTCGTGTACTTAACTAGAACATATATAATATCAATAAAGTGAAGAAGTATTTTATTAAGTGTAAATACTCAAATGCTTGGTGCCTAGTTAATAGGGTAGAACATTCTGACCTTTATTCATTTTTGTAGAATCCAAAGCATACCCGTGACCTAGAGATGATAGAAAATGTAGTAGCTCCTTCTAGTCTTCAAATATCATATATGGAATACTTTATGTGTGATATATGATTAATTATATCATTACAATCCAAAGTATATATTTATTGATTATACCTCCTAGCTCTAAATTCCATTGTTACTTTCAACTTTCACCCTTCCCTTCTCTCTATCTCCCAGTTTCTAACTAGGGTTTTTTTATAGCTTTTACTATGAAAGTTACTATGTAGAAAGTGACATACAAGAATGTCTTGACTCATGAGTCGTTGGTTTGTTGCACAATGTTTGGAGGTCAAACTGTATAGGAAGGATCTAAAATACAATGAATCACAGCTAAGAATCTGAAGGGTCCAAACAGATATTTCAATAATGAGAATATATATTATCAGCAACATCAGATTCTGATATGTTAATAGTAAAAATGGAGAGTGTATGTATGCATATGCTACATCACATGATATATCTCAATTTCCATGTGACCCGCTGCATGCCTTTTTAGAGAGAAAGAGTTTTGTCTTTTATGTATCACCACAAATCTAAATGCATAACATGTGAAAGTTCAGCATGTGGCAACTTAAGTTAAGAAATAAAGATTAAAATAGAGAAAGAAGCCTCCAAAAGTGACTACTATTGTATTGATTAACAAAAAGAGAAGGTTTGAAAGCATAGAGGTTTTGTTTATTAGTGGTACTATAAAAGTTAACACCAAGGTTTAATTGCATATTTTTTCTTGAAGCCGAAGTATATAGGCATGAATTCCTAGTTCAAAACTTGGGTGTATCATTGTAGTTTTTTAGCAAAAAATTAATGTATGAATTCGTGTACTATATAGTATTCAAAAGTATTGGTTTAGGTAATTATTTATACTTATCTGAGTCCTTAACTCATTCTATTGTTAGTGGAAGTGAAACAGCTTTTCTTTATTGAAATTTTATGTTGGTGGGGTTTTGAGTTGATGTTTCTACCTTATTAAAGTAAATGTGTATTCATTAATACATTAAAAATTCAACACCCCATCTCAGTTAAATGATGAATATCACATGCAAAGGACAATGTAAGCAAGCTTTGGTCTATCATGAATATATCCCAAAACTAAAGTTATGGATTTCTTGTTTGGATTTTTGCATCATTACCTCTCATGCATTTGTCTCATCAGTGCGGTTAAGAACACACTTACACACACTATCTCCCTCTTTTTTCATCGAGGGTCCCAATTATAAATTTAAAGTTTTTTGTGTGCATAACTTCCTTTTTATTATTTTCAATCAAAATTGATTAACTTTTATGCAAAATCAACATACATAAACGTTCTTTAGGTGAACATCATGATAAATTGGTATATACATTATTAAAGTTAAATAAATAACTAAAGTTAAATTTTGATACCTTGTTAATATAAAGTATTTTTTAATACTATTAATCAATAATATATTCAACAAGGGAAAGTTTTGCCACCAGTGTGATTCTGCTTCACTGGAATACAAATTAGTCAATACCTCTGATATTTAACTATTGGATGGTATGCACAAAGAAAAAAGTGAGAGGTGGATAAAATTTATGATTGTAGAAATGTTTTTTTAAGGTTAGTATAGGCAGTTCATATTTTTTGGTAATAAGTATAAAAGTATTAGTTTAATTAAAAAATTGTCTTATACTCCAAAATAAGGTGTAAGATACTGTAGAAAATATGAAAGAGAAAGTAGAGGATATAATTGATAAATAACGTCAAAGAAAAAAGATTAAAAATAACATGATATACAAGGGTAGCTAAGAAAAAATAATGTAGGAGAATGAGGATAGTAGTTTTATTTTGTATAATATACATATAAAAAAGATAGGAGTTTTGAAAGTGCGTTTTTGTTTAAAAATGTGATAGGAGAATTGTCAGAAACCACTAGCACATAGCATATCCTTTCTCTTTATCAGAAGAACTTTGTCATTCATAGTGATAAAAAGGTATAAAAGTGATGGTTAGTGGACAGTGGTTGAAAGACAAAACACATTATGAAGAAGAAGCATGATATTATTTCTGTACCTAGGAAATAAATGAAAAAGTTTCATGTTTTGTTTTTGGCCATGTACCTAAAAATAAATGAAAAAGGTTCATTTCATGAGCTTTTTCCAACCTTTCCTTCTCTGTTTCCTCCCTAACTCCTTATCAGCCATTTATGATATTATTTTTCATGTTCATTTTTTTGGTCTCCTAACATTCAAATAACAGCTACAAAAAGCATATTAACATTGTCATGTACTTGAATTTCATCTTTAACATTTTTTTGGTTTTATTATTTGATGTAAAAGTTTGATATACAACCATGCAATTTAGTTATTCTTAACTACCACTTATTGGAATTTAGCTTGATGCTAAGCATTCAATTTTATATTTAAGATTTTAAACTTGTTTAAAAGATACATAATTTATAGAGTACATACTAGGAGAGTGGTCAAAACTGAAGTGAAAACTTTTAAATGATGCACCTAGTAAATATTTATTTGATAAAAAACTGTGACAAATTTACCCTCACCAAGAGATGTACGAGCATAGATATTTATTTATTTGGATCAAGTACATAGATATTTCAATAAAAAAGGTACATAAATACGTGTACTGGCTTATCGATAACGAGAAGGTGTAGTAATTACTTGTCATCTTTGAGAAATATTGAAAAGTAGTACAAAGTTGTACTCGCGAAACCTACACACTGCTACAAGTACTTGGATGTAGTACATCTTAGACTTGGAAGTACGAAATTTCAGATATTGAATCAAATTAGGAAAACCCATTCTACTGGTAAAAGTAGTTGCAGTACAAATTAGCCGAGAAGTAGTACATGGTTTCAGGCTATATATCCACTGAATCAAACTAGGAGTCTCATTACATTGCTAAAACATGACACAAAGCTCAATGTTCCAATTTAGGCAAAATGCATTCCAAAAATATGTGGAGGTAGAGAGGTTCTACAGGGTCGTACTGAGAACACATGAAGATTGCTGAGAGGTTTCAGATTCCTCTCAGCTCATGTGTTCTCAGGTCGCCCCTGCTGGACTTTCCTTTACCACAATACAGCATTTGCATCATAGCATAACTGATTGCAGAAGCAGTCAGCACAATGAAAATGGAGATGGTACTGACAAAGATAAAAGACTATCCGGATTACATGAATTTAATTCAGGTAATTAAATTATAGGATTGTGTTTTATTTAATTGCTACTTTTCATTTTCATTTTATAAATAAGAGACAGGTGGGTGAAATGACATACCACACCCCTTCTAAACCAAAATTTCAGTGAATGCTCTATAAATTAGATCAAATAAGAAGGGCTTATAAATGACTACCATACCTCAAATAAAAGCTTGACAAGCTAAGCAATAATTATCAACTAAACTAAAATCCTCAAAGAAGATTGAATGGCTTGTAGTTCTTCTTCCCCGACTCTCTTCCAAATTCCGGCTACCATGAGGCATCCTTTCACTCCATCCGTTGACAATACATCATTTAACTCACAAGTGTCTTTGGTATCCCTCGTCTTCTTAACAGAAGAGTTATCGAGTAGCTGAAGGTCTTCAGTGGCATCTCGCTTGGTACCATGTTGGATCAATTTCCGATCCTCTTTCCTTTCTGATACTTGATTCTGTTTTAGGTTATCAATATGGTCAAGAACAGGGAGACAACCAGATGAACCAACAGCACGGGGCAACATGCCAATAGGACATGGGTTCCATGACTTTGCCAAAGACCATGTCTGTGATTTTTTACTCTCACAATCCACAGCCCTTGCTGTTTTATTTTTCAATATCTGTTGTTTAACTAACTCTAGCTTTTTAGCTGCTTCATGTATGGATTCCTCAAATTGGAAAATATTATTTGTAGTCAACACAGCGGAGGCTTTATCATCTGCATAGTCTAAATTTGACAAACCAATGAGATAGAACCTTTTAGCTCTCTCCAACAACGATCTGTCACCCATCAGTTCAGCAAGATAAAGGGCTGAATCCATAAGCTGCTTGTTGCAAAGTTGTGATATTAGAAGGCATTTATGAAGAAGCTCGAGCAAGACTTTTTTTGGCACATTTGCTGTGGCAGAAGGAACTTTGCTGAGAATCCCAACAAGCCAGGCAAACAAAGAAGAAAGATAATCACTTCGGCAAAACTCTGCCCTCGCGTGTGAAATCCCAGTACACAGGTTATCTACAAAAATGCACACAATATGAATAAGAAAGAAACTGAAACTATGAAAGTCATGCTCTATCATGAAATAATACATAAACCAGTGAAATGGAGATAAAAAACACAGACTTAACATCGGACTTCACTGCCTAAAGGAAAACCAGTAAAAATAAAATATCCAAATAGTAGTGCAGTGCAAAAGGCATACACCCAGCCTTTAACAATTCATTAAGTAGGCCATTAAAAGAAAAGGATATACCAGAAAATATTCTCCAACAACAACTAAACAGGTATAAAAATACACTCAGAAACTATATTAATGGAAATGGATGTCATAAAAGGAGACAATTTCTACCTACCTCCATCGCACTTCATATCTTCCCGAGTGTCAATCATATCAAGAACTTCCTTAAGAAGGTTTACAAGTAATTCTGGCTCCTTGTCCCACAATTTGAGTATGACAGGCTTCCAATCAGCCAAAACACTCTGAATGGTTAGACCTACAGAAGCAGCATCTGCATTCTCTTTGAACTCTGCAGAACTCATAGCCTTCAGCAAATACTCCAACAACACAGATACAATCTCTGGGGAGAAGGTGGAATACAACCGAATAACAGATTTCAAAATCTTCGTAATTTGTTTCTTAGAGCCTGAAAGTATCAGAATGCATTAGTGCTTGAATACCCTGTACATCAATTCTAAGTGAAGATACACTTCTTTTTCAGAATATAATAAAATAAAAAACCCAATATATTGTAGATTAGGAATCTCATTCGATGGTTACTTATTTGGTTGACCAGTTTTACAGAAAGTGCAATACTTGAGCTTTTTATTTACTGAAAAAAATGTTTCAATAAGAGAGAAAATAAGCATTTTTTTGAAGAATGGGGAATCCTAAAGCAGAAAAAAAACAGAGAAGGAAAGAAAAACATCAACTCAAGCAAGTAAACTGATCTCTTGGCATAACAGACTAGGGAAATCCTAAATAACCTGTTAGCTAAATCCACTAAAACTAAGTACATGTCTATCCTATAAAAGATGTGAAGTAAAAAACAAGCCTCCCCCTTCAGCAGCTACAACCTCTTAACTTTGACAAAACTGCTCCCCGAAGTCCTTCCCTCAACACCTATTAAGCCAAACCTAATCCTTAGGTGACAATGAAGCTGCCCTTAACAATGAATTACAAAACCACCTTGCCGAAGTTACTGCTATGAACATTTAAATTCCATTCGTTTCTTTTGTATTTCAAGCTTCCAAGTCCCTAAACTGGTAAATATATAAACTTTTAATTCTCTCGTTTTCCAAGTTGAAGGAGAAACAACCAGGGGGGGGGGGGGGGGGGGGGGGGGGGGGGGGGGGGGGGTTTAAGCAGAGAATATTTGACAGCATGCTTTGGTAAAGTAAATCCACAATTACTTTAACGATCATGTATATAATTAATAGAATTTTAATTGCCAAAATAAGAATCTGGTTTCCTGAAATTTAATTGGTTCATGCTATGTTTGATTAAACAAACACTCAAACAGTTGCATGTGATGCAAGCCAATGATAAATCTACTAAAGCAATTGCACCTACAAATATTATCGGTTTTATACATTCAACCATTTATTTCTATGTAATTGTTCATGCCTGTGCAAAATTGTCTTGCATGCAAATTTTCTTTCTTTCTCCTTTTTGATTTTTTAAAGTGGTCTTAGACACACAATTCACTTACATTAGAGTAAGACACACACACTTATATAAAGGGTACAATGAACAAACACTGTAAACATTTAGTGTATTAATATTGTGATACCTCCGGAGTGTGACGACTGGCTCTTGCCAAGCGTAAGACTCAAAAGCTTATTACGCCCTAAGAGCAATTCACCATGCTTCACCCCTTTAAAAGAAACAATATTCAACATCATAAGATTCTAAAGCAGAAGAAAAAAAGAAACTATGGCAACTAAAACACCTAAACCAGATCTTTTAAGTCTGATGTAATAATTGTTTATCAAAAGTATATCACATTAGGAAAAGGAAAAAGAAGCATGAACAATATCTGATTTGTATTTTTGAACTGGGGGTGGGGATTGGATCAGCATTTCGGAGGTTAGGATGGAAAGTGCCAGATTAAATTATCCACACAAAAAAATGAAACCAAAAGGCCATTATGCTTTGTGAAGACCAAATCATGCCCAATATAAGATCATGGCAAATTCCAACCATCATAGTTTCGAATTGGGCTTTCCACATTAAATGAATCACATGCTTTTGATGAGCACAAGTTCAATGAGCATGAATGAAACAGCAATTACTAAAATGAAATAGACAAAGGGAACTCAATGAATAGGTTGAAGGTATGAGACCTAGAACAAGGAAGAGTAAAGCATCTATTAGAGGGGCAATATGGCACATATGAACAAAGCTTACGCACGTTTTCCCTTGAGCAATGAAGTACTAGAGTGGGGATTTCCTTTGACTTTCACACAGATTGCTAATTCACGAATTTTAGATTTGATTTCCTTTTTGACCTTATCATTTCTTTCACCTTGAAAAGGAATTGCTTTGCTTTGAGGCTCCCAATAATAAGATTTTAGCCAATCAAGTGCCTGAAATTATCAGCAAAATATTAAATGAGTTTGGGGAAGGGGAAGGGGCAGGGGTAAACATACTCAGTATGAAGGAAATAACGGATATGCTAGCAAAGCACTTGGGGGAGAACTGATCAAATTCAAAGATGTAAATCCTTAAATTTGCTTTGGGGAAATAAAAACATGATTTTTTTAGTTTCTGAAGTTCGCTTTAAAATTTATGTTGACGATATGAACTTTCATTCATATCAAATTATTTTTGTATAAATATGACTGCTATTTGAACAAATGTAAGATCACATAGTAATAGTAACATTACAGAAAATTCTAAAATTCAAGGCTCAATGTCCTAGTTAAACTTATAAGTACGAAAAAATCATTCCATTACAATATCATTGATCTACTAAGTATTAAGAAGTGTAGATACCCTGCCACTCCAACTGCAAATAAAAAGAATTAGATTAAATAATAAACGCGCATGTCCTCATTCCTTCTATACAACTAAGACGATACACATTTCCTTCAAATAGAATCTAACAACTTTAAAACAAAGATATAGTTGAGACATGATTAACCAAGGCTTGCCTTAATGGAGGCAGTACGAACAACCTTGAGTGATGGAAGTTCACGATGTGATGCCTCTGCAATTGCCATCAGTAAACATATTAAAACAAGAAAGCATTCAAAATTATCTCACAGCTACAAAGTTCATGTTCTATTCCATTCATCCTATTGGCATCACAGTAGAAACAAGAATAAGTAACAGTTAGACGCCTAAATGGTATGAAGATGCTTTACCATGACGAATATCAATTAGCATACGTGGAATACCAATTGCTTCAGCAGCAACAGCTATAGACACCAATTCTTTCACACGTGTCTTCTCAACTGCACCATTCACGAGCCTAAGAAACACATCAAACACATCATCAAATTAAATAACCACAACATAATAACAATCAGTGAGAATAGAAACAAAAAAAACTAACCTCGTGATTGCCATGCAATACAACATAGAGAGTATCTCATCGGAATCGGAAGCATGATCCACCATTCTACAATAAACATAAATTGGATAAAGCAATAAATAATGAATGAATCATAAAAAATAGAGAAAGTATGAAAAGATGTAGTTACTGAAAGTAAGGATCCTTGAGGTGAATTTCGATGATGGAAGCAGTTATTTGGATAGTAATTGGCAAAGAACCACGACTTCGCCATGCTGATATCTGAAATTAAAGATGAGAATAGTGTGGTTAGTTAAATATGAAGTTGGATTTGGAAAGTGATGTGAGAAAGAAAGAGAAT